GGTGGTTATGGATTTTCTTACTATTCCGATCGATTACAATGTTACAACACCATATCCAAACACACACAAACACACACCAAGCTACAAACAACTAAATAATACATACACACACAACCGTACTGTGGCGGCAAGTGGTGGTCGGAGGTGCTAGCCACCACTTCACGGTGGTGGTGGTCGCCCTCTTATGTTTTCCAGCCAAGATAGCCACACACACAAACAGAAAAGTACACACCCACACATCTTCTATTCACGAGAGGAACCCAGCCACCCCAAGTGGTGTATGGCAGCAACATTGAGACCATAAGGTGGGCAATAATGGTAACAGCTTCATATTCGGCGACTGCCACCATGGTCGGCTACCATGGTGGTACTTCATGGCTTTTTACTCGACCAACAAACCCACACACACGAACATCTGCATCACAAGCCATGAACTCAACCACCATTACATGGTGGTAGGCAGTTGATAGAGGGCGTCGGAGGGATATAGCGGTTTTCCTAAACGACAGCGGTGGGGTGACCACCGGAAGAGAAAGGGAGAAAGGAGAAAGTGGTCCGAGACCCACCGAGTACAACGGCAGCAGCCTCGTCTCACGGCGTCTCCGTCTTGAGTGGAAATGGTGGATGGAGGTGGCGACAGACACACACCCCCATCATAGATCCCGAATTTTTCCCCTTAACACCGATAGCACACGCCCAACCTTAGGGTTCCCGAGGTGGTTGGCTTCGATGGTTAACGACTTGACATCGGAGGGAGGTAGCGGCGATAGAGGCTGGAGCTTAAGGTGGCAACCATATTTCTTAGGGTTAGGGTTATCGAGGATGACGGGTTCATATATCCCGTCCCTATTGAACTTCGACCCATATTGGCAATAACAGCCCCTCCTTTTCCCTTTTCTTTCAAAGAAGATCCATATTTTCCCTTTTAACCCCTGCCTTCAAAACTATTTACAAATTGAGTCTGAAATTTACCATTTACCCTTTAGCTTCCAACATCTCTTAAGATTAAGTCCCAATAATTAGCCAATAGTCCATGCCGTCATAATTATTTACAAAACAAATCCGAAACTCACACTTTTAGCCCTTGGAAATCAAAGTATATCATTTGGCACCCCGAAACCAACACTCCACTAATTATTATCTGATTTTGGACTATAATAATAATAATAATAATAATAATTATTATTATTATTGTTTTTCGGGGTTCCGGGTTTATTATTTAATTATTATATTTCCAATGCCAAGGAAAAGGAATTGATTCTCTTACTCTTGTTTGGTTAATGCAAAAAGTAAGGAATTGAGAAATAAATCAATTCCTTTTCCATCAAAACAATTCCGTATTTTTAAGAAGGAAAAGGAAAGAAAAGAAAAGGGGCGTTGGTCGAGAATCAAAAAAAAAACGGAGAATTAAACAAAGCCGTACTTCGACCCCAACCAACTACATCCCAAGTTTTATTTTATTCTCCGTACTTCATCACATCTCCAAGACACAATCGACGTAGCTCTTTATCTTCTTCTTTTTCCTTTGCGTTTGCTCTACAGATCGCATTCATGCCTACAAAATCATGTTTTTGTTGCTTCCTGTTGGTCGATTTTGTCACCAAACTTCCAAAATAAGATAAAAACATTCATTTCTTCTAATCATTTAAACTTCGATTCTTGTTGTTCATAATGTTACGAAATTGATTTTTGGTTACTTTTTAAGTTCATCTGGTCCTAACTTCATCTATGTGTAAGCGACACATGATGAGACATAATTAACATGTCAAATGGTGGACTTCAGTTTCATAATTTATAAATGCTATTGACTTTGTATATGATTAGCACAATAATTATGGGAATCTATTAACATTTTTTTGTAAATAGTCGGATAAATCTTTGCATCTTGAAAACATGATCATATGTTATGATGTGCGTGAATGTAAATTTTTCATTAAGAAGCTGTCTTTTACTTTGCCTTGCTTATATTCCATTATCTAATGAAGGTTTTGACTGGAGGTCAATATTATGCTTTTAGAAAATTTGACTGCCAAATTGAATTATGTCCCTAAAAGTGCATCAAAAATTAAAATTATAATGTGGTTTGTATGTGTAATTTTTATGTACCTATAATTTGATTTGTATGTTTTTTTGTTAAATCTTTTGATTAGATTAATTAGGCCATTAAATTCGTTGAAAACATACGAAAAGGATAACTGGAATTATATTTCTTGTCTGGGTTTTGATGATTCGAAAAATTGGACTTCTATTTGTTTTTTTCTTCGTGAGATCAATCCACCCCTTTTTTAACAAGAACTTCTATTTTGCTAGGTTACTTAGGCGGTTGTAGTTATTGCTACAAACTTTCAAACTTGACTCGCTCAAGATCTCAGTGTTGGCTGAACCATTTGGATGTTATTCCAAGTTTGGAGGCTACAATGGTCCATTTTAACTATTCCCAGTAAATCAAGCCCATGGTGTTGTTTCCAGATTTTAGAGGGTATAAAGATCCTCATTGGTTGTTGTCTCGTGGTGTTTTTCAACAAGGATTTATGTTCTTGTTTTGATTTAATCTCTTCAATCCTTACCTATTGAAATATATGGAGACTCAAATGAAAATGATGGTGATTATGAATACACAAAAAGATGAAACGATGGTTGATGATCAATATAATAAATTTTGTTTAATGATATTATGTGGTTCTTTTGATGTGTAATAGCTTTGTATGATGTTAGTCATTGGACTATTTAGTCTAATAAATAATCTTTGACAGAAAAAAAAAAAAGGAATTTTTGTATACTTTAATCCAACACAAAAAATAGAAATAAAAAAATAAAAAATAAAAAAAAAATACATTACATCACAAATAAATATGTAAATCATAATTAATGGTATTATTATAAAATATTATCAATTGAAAAGAATAACTATAGTAAAGAATTTCATTCTATTCCATTGCTTACCACAACCAAACAAAAGAATTGATTCTCACATATATTTCTCACGTGAATTCTTTATTGTACCAAACATTCTAATCAATTCCCTTTCTCTAGTCTAATTCTCTTTCTCTCCATTTCCATTCTCTACTTCAATTCCATTTAGAGAATTGCTGAAATACAAATCACAAGAAGGGGTTAGGGTTTTGTTGCTGGTTTGGGATGATAAGACTTCACATAACAATCTGTTCATCAAAACGGTATGAATTTCATCCTAAATCCTTTATCTAACATTTGTGTTTAACTCATCTTCATTGATTATTTAGGATGGAGTTATGCAAACTCACGATGAAGAAACACACAAGCTTTTCAAACACTCCACTGTTCACTGTGGTTTAGCCATTATACATAAAGGCAAATTCACGGTACGTAGGTAAACATGGATCTTCAAGAAAATCATAACCAAAAACCACGTCCGGAATCTGGTAAAGTTTTATATTAAATGTATATTACTTAAATTTTTTATAAAACTTTGTGATCGGTTCTGATGATGATTATAATTTTGTTCTGATTTACAGAAGTGGTAAATGATTGTATAATAGAGCAAGTTTAACTCGTTAGGGAAGTTGTCCCTATAATAGATGATCCTACACTTCCGTGCTTAACTTTCAGAACATGGTTTTTAGGGATCATTTATTGTGGTGTTGCTTTCTTGGAGTAGTTCTTTGGTTATTGCCAGAATCAACTAACTATGTCCTCGTAGCACAATATATTGTTCTTCCTGTTGGAAGAATAATGGAAACAACTCTCCCCACAAAATGAGTAACAATTCCAGGGACGAAATGATCATTTTCATTGAATCATTTTTTTCATACTTAGAATTATAACATCTTATGTTTTATATATAAAATACATGCATTTTTGATACATATTAGTGTTATCCTTAGCAATGTACAGTGTTGCAACATCAAAAACAGTCAGATCACGAGTAATAGTTGGAGTCGCTCCCTCATTTAAGAGTGCCCAACGTGATTATCAATGGAAAGAGGTAATTCCATTCCATTCTCTTTGAATGCATTTTGTTTATGTATTGTTTTTTTTTTTTCTTGAAGTTCTGTACAATGTTGGAGCAAAAGCACCATGCTCTCAAGGTAGAAAAGATGGAGTATGAAGCAAGGACCAAGGTACTTGAACATATAATATGTCAGAGTTTCCTGGAGTATCTGAAAGGAAATGATACTAATTAATAGTTTTGTATTCATCAACTAATAACCCTACCTACATTTTAACAATTTCTAGGTATGCAGGGAAACTATGCATATTCTTGTGTTTCAAACTTCCACATCCACAGAGAACATGATACGGGCAGGTTATAACAATGTAAGCTATTTTTGTGGGGTTAGTTGAGCTTGCAAGTTGTACCCTTTTGTTGTCTTCATGACCTTTACTTTCTTTTTCTCTTCCAACAAAAATGCTACTTCTGTATTCACAAAAAAAACCTATATATATATATATATATATATATATATATATATGGGAAAATGACTTACGAGCCCAGCGAAGTTTCCAAACCGTTTAAAAAACCCCAATCATGTTTTGTCTGTTCAAAAAACCCCAACAAACTTGACATTTTGTTTAAAAAGCCCAACTAAGTTACACTTTTCTGAAAGTCAAATAAGAGAAACGGATGACGTGACTTATTACCATATCAGGAAAATGACTTATTAGACCAACAAAATTTCCAAAACGTTTAAAAAACTCCAATCATGTTTTGAGTTTTAAAAAAAAAACCCAACGAACTTAAACAAAAAAAATTGGGATTTTTTGAACAGTTTGGAACTTTGTTGGACTTTTTAGACAAAAAGTTAAGTTCGTTGGGTTTTTTTGAACAGACAAAACATGATTTGAGTTTTTTGAATGGTTTAGAAAGTTCACTGGGCTTTTAAATCATTTTCCCTATATATATATATATATATATATATATATATATATATATATATATATATATATATATATATATATATATATATATATATATATATTAGTTCTAATCACTTGATATATTGACAACTTAATCGTTCAAGCATCATTGTAGAAGCTCTTACATCAGCTTCATGGAGTCTGCTTTCAAAGAGGGTAATCTGTATTTAATTCTCCTCTCTTTCCCAAAATGATGAAATGTTTCTAAAGATAGATATATATATATATATATATATATATATATCAAGATAGAAGAATCTTTGTGAAACAAGTAAACTGGAAATTAATTGAAGTATGCATTGAAAAGATGAAATTGAAGTATCTTAATTCAGGATTGTGTTGTTGTAATGTGGTTATTAGGGTTATAAAATCGTTATTCCATACTCATATGTAGGCAAGAGATGGACTAATGGTGCATCAAAACAAGTACCATCAGGTAGCAGGAACTCCCATTAATGACATGTACTGGTCCTTGGAAACTCCTGAACAGTTCCAAAAGTTGTTTTAGTTATTATGGCTGTAATGTAAAGGCAGCTGTAAGCTAGTGTGCACTTCACAAGAAACACTACATTTTAATGCAGAGGTACTATGGCTCATCAAATCTAACTAAAAATACTACATCTGCAGTTTAATTCGATAACTATTTTGTGTCTGAACTTCCACATCCAGATTCTATCCAACAATAACATACTTTATTTCATTTCAAGGTAAATATATAATCTATCCAGCTATCCGTTTTTAGATTAAGATCCTCTATAGTCTCTTATTATGCCTTTACAATTTCAAGTTTAATTAATGGGAAAACTACAATAAAGTCCCTAAGTATTGCCCGTATAATCGATTTAGCCCTTATATTTTTTTTTTTTTGCAATTTAGTCCTAAATACCTGTAAACGTAATCAAAACGAGATATTTAATAGGTTAGCCGGTATCCCACCTTACGTGTACAAGTGAGTTTTACCCTTCCATTTCCACTGCATTCGACGTCTGGTAAATCGATTGAGAGAAAAAGATAGGGTTTTTACAGAGTGATACACGAAATAAGTAAGGTTTTACTGAGAAAAACGAAGGTAAAACCCAATGGTTGTCGAATCAGAAGAAGTTCGCCATGAGTCATCTGAAGAATACGACTCTGAAGAATACGAAGATGATGACGAGGTGCTCGATACTGAGCACATAGATGTGGAACTGGAAGAAGATGATTTCAAGACACAGGGTAAAGAGAGATGCAAGGATGCTTTCCTTAACTTCAGTTCTGATTATGAAGATAATGAAGCCGATGAAGACAATGACTTAGTTGATGAAGATGAAGAAGGGTTTGGTTCAGAAGAGGAAATCGATGACACAGCAGGGGCTAATGATCTTGATTTGGGAGATGCGGTTGGTGCAGGCTTCCCCATTCACGACCCATCAGTTAAGTGGAATAAGATGAAGCCCCTTCTTGGTGAAAGGTATGAATCACCACATCAGTTGCAACAATGTCTCACTAATTATGCTATTAAGTCAGGGTATAACATTAAATTTGCGAAGTGTGACACTGTGAGATTAACTGCCAAATGTGGTTCTAAGATGAAGTCTCAACCCTGCCCATTCAGAGTTCATGCTTCCTGGATGACTCAAGAAAGGTCTTTTCAGATTAAAACCTTAGTCGATGAGCACAAATGTGTTAGAAATTTCAATATTTCAAATTTACTGAGTCCCAGATGGCTAGCAAGACACTTTTTGAAGGAGTTGATAATGAAACCTAACTTGAAGTGTAAGGAGATGCAATCAATAATTAGGACCAAATTTCATTGTGGTGTATCTTGGTCTAAGGCTTACAGAACAAGGTGTAGAGCAATGACCATTATAGATGGTAAACTTACAGAACATTATGCTAGGGTGTGGGACTATTGCCATGAGTTACTAAGGTCAAATCCTGGTAGCACTGTCCAAGTTGGTGTCACTGTAAATCCAGATGAAACAACATACTTTCACAGGATGTATTTGTGTTTTAAAGCAATCAAGGAAGGTTGGAAAATAGGGTGCCGTAGGGTAATTGGTCTAGATGGATCTTTCTTGAAAGGGACATGTAAAGGAGAATTACTCACAGCAATAGGGAGGGATGCAAACAACCAAGTTTATCCAATTGCTTGGGCAGTTGTTGACATTGAAAACAAAGCTAATTGGAAATGGTTTTTGGAACTGCTCACAGAGGATCTTAATCTGCTAGATGGAGGAGGGTTTACTGTAATTTCTGATCAACATAAGGTTTGTAATTTCTTTGCATATTTATGATTTTTCCTTAACATCATCTTATATGTTTATGTATTCATTAAATTGTAGGGATTGCTTGAAGCAACCAAAGAAGTCCTACCAAATGTGGAGCATAGACAGTGTGCAAGACACATATATGCTAACTTTAGGAAGACCTATTCTGGAGTGGAGTTCAAGAATATGTTCTGGGCAGCTTCCTTATCAACTGTAGAGAGTGAATTTCTCAGGAAAATGGATGATATAAAAGAGGTTAATCCAAATGCTTATGAACATTTGATCGCAAGAGATCCTCACACATGGTGCAGGGCATTTTTTAGGACTGATGTAGCATGTGAGGCAGTTGAAAATGGCATTGCAGAGTGCTTCAACGCCATCATATTGGATGCTAGAAAGAAACCCCTTCTAGCAATGTTTGAAGAAATTAGGTTGTACATGATGGATAGGTTCTACCATATGTTACAAAAGGCAGAAAAGTGGGAATCAGTGGTTTGTCCAGCTGCTATCAAAAAAATGAACAAGTTTGGAGAGGATTTGAGGTTTGTCTTAGCATTTTTATTGTTCCTTGTTATCATTATTCTAATTTCATTGTTATGATTTCATTTAGTAATGCCATTGTAGGAATTGGAATGTGAATCCAAGTGGACCATCTATTTTTGAAGCCAGGAATGGATTAGAAGGGTACGTGGTTAACTTACAAAGCAGAGTGTGCAGCTGTAGGCTTTGGGATATCTCAGGAATTCCATGTGTACATGCACAGTGTGCAATATTATTCACTGGACAAGATCCTGTTCATTTCATAAGTGAGTGGTTTCATGTGGACAGGTTCAAGGCCATATATGCAAACAATATACTACCTGTGAATGGTAGAAATTTATGGCCTAGAACATCATACATAAAGCCTCTACCCCCTTTAGCTAGAAGAATGCCAGGGAGACCAACTCTGAAAAGAAAGAGGCATGCCACTGAATCTCAAGACAAATACTCCCAAAATAAGATGAAGGTTACAGGAAAAGGAAGGACTGTCCAATGCAAAAATTGTCTTCAAAGGGGTCATAACAAGGCATCCTGTAAGAATCCCAAGGTCACACCAGAACCCAAACCCAAGAAAAAAATGGGTAGACCAAGATTGGATCCTGATATCAGTCATTGGACTAGAGGTGGTGTAAGAGGTGGTGTCAGAGGTAGTAGAGGTGGTGCAAGGGGTAGTAGAGGTGGTAGAGGGGGTAACAGAGGTGGTGCAGTGGGTAACACAGGTGATGTAGTGGCTAACAGAGGTGGTGGAGTGGCTGAAGTTGGTGGAGTGGCTGAAGTTGAAGGTGGTGGAGTGGCTGAAGTTGAGGATGACACTATTCCTGAAAAATATTTAGTCCATTTATGGAAGGCAATGCAAGATTTGAAACAATCACGGTATTCAACTGAAGAAATTAAAAAGTCACTTAGTCTGACAGATTCACATATGAAACAACTCAATGATTACAATGACACTATTGAACAAGTTCTTCCTATGTCTATGGTAAACCCTCTATATTACCTTAATGTTTACATTCGTTTATGTTATTAATTGCTTGATGTTTTATAGGAAGAGGAGTATCCACCTCAGACAGAGACACAAGATGGGGATGAAGAAAATATCCCTGAGACACAACCAGAAAGTGAGGAAGAAGAAGAAGGCATTAATGACACCCATGAATTACCAGTACACCTTAGGATTGTGAAAAAAAGAAGGCCCTCTGAGAGGATTGTTAAAACCAAGCTGAAGAAGATGGGATGTGTTGGGACTTCTTCAAATTCACCATTGGAGTTGGATTAGGGTGTTAGGGTGTTAAGGGTAGTAAGGGTATTTTGGTACATCTTTTGTGAATGCTACTTTTGTGCATCTTTTGTGAATGCTACTTTTGTATATCTTTTGTGAATGCCCTTAAATTACTGATAACCATATTTTGTACATCTTTTGTAAACACATTGAAACATTGTGAATGCCCTTAACATGGTTGGTAATGACATATTGGAGTTTGTTGTTTAATTATTTTAGCCACATTGAAACATTGTGAATGCCCTTAATATGGTTATATTTGTCAAGTGTACACCATTTATGCAAACCAAGAAGGGCACCAGCAACACCTCTGTAGTAAGATCTTGTTATTGATCTAAATGATTCTTGACCATCCTAACAAATATATAAAGAAAAAAGAAGAGATTTTTTTAAGATTTCTTTTTATAATAAATGTAACAAGAGAATAAGGTATAGAAGAAAAGAAGGAGACAAACTGTGTCCCAGATTTGGAGCTTTATTGGTTTGTTGTCAATGGTGATCATTTTAGTCCCAAATTCAACACCAATTGTTAAATCATGGTTATATTTGTCTAGTGTACACCATTTATGCAAACCATAATAACATATTGCCATTTCATTAACCGAAACATTAAACTATTACATCAAAATTTATCTATTACATCATGATGATAACAAACCAAAAGATTACATCATCCCTACCATACCATAATACCCTACAACTTACACTAAACTAACCATACATCATCCCTACAATGAAACAAACAAAACAAACCATCATCCACTTGCAGAATCCAAATTCATTACTAGGCACATGTGTATTGTCACACATTGCAATTTGATTATCAGGTTCAAGAGCATTCGCAGGGGCAATAGGGACATCAACATTCACAGGGGCAATAGGGCCATCAACAGGTATTTCACCTTCATTAACAGGGTTATTAAAAGGAATAGCTACACCCCCATTAGCAACAGCTCCTAACTCATACATTCTTTCTTTATACCACTTATTCAATAGTGGTGGGTCAATCCAACGAAAATACCCACAGTCCTTCTCTTCATCCTACATAACATAGCAAGATGCATGTTTTTAACATAGAAAAATGGGAAATTTAGAGGATTAGAAGAATTTGAGTGAGTTTTGAAGATTCTATACCATGTAATTTGGGCAACCAAAAAACCTCCGACCTGGATTCTTTCGAGTCCATGATGTCCACATCCCAACCGTATCTCCACAATAGCACGTTCTGATGTTGGTGCTTGACGAACTCGACATCGATTTCCTGTTGCCAATTTGCCCTAATCGTTCGCTCCTTTGACTGGAGATTGAAGAAGACGAGCTCGATTCAATGATTTAGCCCTCTTAAATGGCACGTAGGATGTTATTTCACATGATGACTTCCACGTAAGCTGCCACATCAGTTAGATACCGGCTAACCTATTAAATATCTCGTTTTGATTACGTTTACAGGTATTTAGGACTAAATTGCAAAAAAAAAAAAATATAAGGGCTAAATCGATTATACGGGCAATACTTAGGGACTTTATTGTAGTTTTCCCTTAATTAATTCACAGGTTGAGGGACTTTTGTACATGAGTTTCACATCTTGCTATCAAATTTTGGTAAGCATAGCAAATAATATGCACCTAAATATTTAGCATAAAATCAATCTTCTTCAAGCTAAAATTATATCACTTGATGTTATATTTACTTCTTACAATGGCTTTTAGTAGCTCCAATGGACAATATGGACACACCTGCATGTAAGGCCAGCCCATCAAATGTCGAGTAAGATTACAATTTTTTTTTGTGGTTTTTAATATTTGTTTACAATGGTTCTCTGTTCATTGTATTTTTATCTTTCGTTTTCTAGCTTTCTCACTTAAGGGGACGAAAAGCACCATGG